TTACGGCCTGAGCAAAGCAGAGCTACAAATATGGACCGAACAAAAACAGATACCCATCCGAATCCGCGTGGTCAACATCCTCAAGAGTTGGTTCGAGAACTTCTGGATGGAGCCAAACGATGAGGCAAATACTCATCTACTAGGCCGTATACACTCCTTCGTTACCGAGGCAGTTGCATCGACTAAGACGCCTGGCGCGCAACAACTAGTCAGCTTGATAGAGCAACGTCTACGTGGAGAAGAGACTACTGCCAAACGCCTGGTACCCACCATTAGCTCTAATGCACCCACCCCCATCACCCCCAAGAACATGAAAAAGATTAAATTCCTGGACATTGACCCAACCGAGTTTGCTCGTCAATTGACCATCATCGAGTCGCGGCTCTATGCCAAGATTAAGCCGACGGAGTGCTTGAATAAGACCTGGCAGAAAAAGGCTGGACCAGGCGAGGCCGAGCCGGCGCCAAACGTCAAGGCTCTTATTCTACATTCTAACCAGCTTACCAATTGGGTGGCCGAGATGATTCTGACCCAGTCGGACGTCAGGAGACGAGTCGTCGTAATCAAGCACTTTGTCTCCGTCGCTGATGTAAGTGACTTATGTCTCTTTTACCGCATATGATGAAGATACTAAACAAAGTTTTAATAGAAATGCCGACAACTTAACAATTACTCTACTTTGACATCTATCATCTCTGCGCTTGGAACGGCGCCAATCCATCGGCTGGCTCGTACATGGGCGCAAGTCAGCCAGAAAACTGCAGGAACCCTTGAGATGATCCGCAAACTCATGGCTAGCACCAAGAACTTTGGCGAATACCGTGAAACCCTTCACCTCGCCAATCCCCCTTGCATCCCCTTCTTCGGTAACTATCAACCTCCTATCCATTTCCTTTCCCCCCTCTTTTGTCTACCGTCTCCGTCGAAACAGTGCCATGACTAACGTGCACACAGGTGTCTATCTCACTGATCTCACATTTATCGAGGACGGCATTCCCTCGCTCACTCAATCCGATCTAATTAACTTCAATAAGCGCACCAAGACCGCGGAGGTGATCCGCGATATCCAGCAGTACCAGAATGCGCCTTACCAGCTTATTCCTGTGCCGGAGCTGCAGGAGTACGTGTTGAATAACATGCAGGCAGCAGGCGATGTGCATGACATGTACGAGCGCAGTCTTGAAATCGAACCCCGAGAAAGGGAAGACGAGAAAATCGCAAGGTATGGTAAACACTACTACTACGACCCATCGGTCGTTGCACTCACCCTGACGGCTGGCATACATTGATCGTGCCATGACCTCCTCCCTCCAAGCCCTCTCTCCCAGACCCTCACTCTTGCTCCATCTCTTACTCCTTTCTTTTCTTTTGTTCCCTCATCGTATTTTTTTTGAACCCTTTCCTATCTTCGACGTCAGCCCAATTCCCCGTTTCGGTGTTCTTCCATCCTCCCTTCACCTCCATTTTTTTTTTTCTTGCGTCGCAACACCCATTATGCGGGTGTGCTTGGGTGTGTGTTTTTGCTTCTTCCTTTGTTGTTGCGATGCGCCTTCTGGGTTCCCCCACGTGCCGCGATGCTGGCCTTTCGGAAGCGCTGCCCAAGACTTTTTTAAAAGCAGTTGTGGCACAGGCGACGCATCGACTCCCCCAGCCCCAGCAGCCAACGCGAAAGGGAAGGTTGAGTTTCCTCCCCCGGACAAGCCAGCACCCACCGAGGGACAGCAAAGAGCAAATGGGAAGAAGAGAAAAAAAAGCAACAGCAACATGCGACAAGCACAGATACACACCATCTCGGGCGCAAATAATTGCAAAAGCATGACGCTGGAGCAGGAGCAAGTATCGTGATGGATGTGGGAAAAAATAGAGAGAAAAAAAAAAAAGAAAAGAGAACAAAAGAAAAAGAAAGAAAGCCCGCAAGAAACGCAAAAGTCAGCCTAGTTGATCGTTATTACATCGACATGGCCAGGATTATCTCACGCTTCGACGACGTGCTGCTCCTCTCTGCTGCTCGCTGCCTAACTGCTTAAACTCCCTTCCCCTCCCCTCCCTCCCCCTTCCCTCTTCCTATTCGCTGTGATACCTTCTGATTCGCTTCTCCGTGATTGTGGATTAACCTTCAGATGGGGATTTTCGTTTGTGGCTTTGTTGTGTTTTTCCAGCGCTTCTTACGATTTGATTGACCTGCCTGAAAGAATTAACCAATCAGCTAATGATTCCCCGTTTTCTCAATGTAGACTGCTCACTGAGTCAGGGTTCTTGTAGCCTGAATGACCCAAGCAAAGCAAAGCAAAACGAAACCCAAAAGCAAATGGGGAAAAAGAAACACTCTCCCGGGTTCCGGGGAGCTGAGACGACTGAGCCGCTGGTCCAACCAACCTAAGAAGCTCATCTTAGCTCGAAGCTCCCCTTGCCTGGCGCTTGTGAACGCCCCGCAGCTGGACATCATATCGCCATTGATGCTACCAGAAGAGAGGGAAGGGTTTTCTTGGTCCCTCCCGCTTGACTGGACGGCATGGCTCTGCGCTATGCTACGCTATGCTGCATGAGTGCGGGTATGTCGGTTATGGATTATGGCGTGCATGAACACGGCATACAGCTGCAGCTGCCATCATCTTATGCCCTTCCCTCGCCTAACCCAGCAAGACCGGCGAGCTAGCCAGCGAGCTATCCAACCGCCTCGGTAGCTCCGAGTACCTACGTACCCTCTCCGTCGCATCTCAAGTCACCCACCGATCTCCCTTTGCCGCTGCTGCCGTACCAAAGAGGAAGATGCGTCTGGCCGACCAGCGATCAAACCGACAATCGCAACAGCAGCGTGAGTATAGGAACCCATCTCAACCTAACGTCCTCTATCGGCCGCATGATCAGTCCCACTCGCCATCCATTCATCCATCCAAACCCGCGAGCCTCAACGGCTAGGCGATAAGATACGGCGATATACGAAACCTCCAGGTCCCATCGATCAACCACGACCCGGGACACCGTTTGGATAAGTCGTTTCTTTTCTTTTCGTCCTGCGGTTCCCACGTGGCGGGGACCAGACAGGTACTATCTCCCCCCATTTTCTTTTCACCTAACCAAAAGAAGAATTATATGTCCGAATTACGATGACCGCATCCGCACCAATCGCGCGGTCGTGCTTTTACCCTTCTCACTGCCATCTTTTATCGATATGTCTGATGAAAATGCAAGTCATGATGAAAGCTTTACTTAAATGAAGTCACTCCCTTACTTGTTCTTGCCTCTTTTTTTTTTTTTATCTTCCGCTCTAACTCAATATTGAGAATACGAGCTTATATTATTGTCTCGCCCCACAAGAAAGAAGACTGTTATCTTGTACAGCTTTTGTCCCCTTCCCCTCCTATACTATTTTATTTTTATACTTCTGTCAAGTTTGTTCGACAGCAGCCTATCGGTGACATGTACCTGCTTTTAGGCTTTTTTTCTTTTCTTCTTTTTTTTTTTTTACTTCTTCTTTTTAAACCCTTCACCTTTCTCATCTCTAAAGAGCCGACGGGCCAAACAACCAGCACGTTCCTCCCGCGCACCGACCACTTTTTGCATCTGTCTTCTCCGGGGTCCCTTTTTTTCAAAAATTCTCGATCATCTTTTTTTTTACCTTTTGCACCAAATATAGAATCCGACTGGCTATACGATAACAAGTTACAGTGACACATGTTCAGGAACCGGGATTTGCATTTTCACACCTGATGTACCTCCATTTTCTTTGTTTTTCCTTTTCTTTTCTCATGCATATATTTTCTCATCTATGGAGTACATCCATATATCAGTATATCAGCTATTATCGAATGGCTACACATACGCCCATGTTAACTATATCTCCATATAGTGTGAAGGGGGGAAGAGAAATATCGATACATCACCTTATAATTACATAGCCTGTTCCCGGTCCCTACTCATAAATCATCAAACTAAAGAACAGCGATGAAGCAGGGTATGAGAAGACAGGGGGGAAAAAAAAAAAAAAAAAAAAAAAAAAAAAAAAAAAAAAAAATCCCGCCCTTAACCCAAAGTCAGCCATCATGTACGAAGTCGTAGCGACATACTCCGTACCTATACCTCAACGGAGTGTCCGAATAATCTCCCTCTCTTGTCCACCAACGCAAGAGTCCACATGAAAGGAACAACTCCGTACCATCCAGCCCACCCACCATCACCAACTAAAGCAAAAAGAAAAGAAAGAAACCCAAAAAAAGCCCTTCCTCTGCTCGCCCGGAAGGCAAAGCCAAGATAACGACGATGCACGTGTATTTAGAACTGGTCGCTATGAAACAGGGATGCTGCCTCGGATCGCGCGGCTCGTCGTCCTGCTTGCACCTCCAGCGGATGCAAGCCAGATTAAAGGGGCTGGAGGGACCTTAACAGCGAGCTGGGAGTAAGTAAGCGAAGACACGCAAGCAACCCTGGCGCGCAGCCTAGTTCAGCCGATGGTCGTGACTGAGATAGTAAGTGGCATGATTATTGCTCCCGAAGTTGGTTATCTGAAAAATGTTCATGATTTTATGGCGGCCAGCGCGGTGGATACGGAGTATATGTATATCATCCACTGTCGAGGAGTTCGTGGGAGGCGGGCCGGATCGGACGAAAGGAAGCTGGGGGAGAGGAGGATACGGGGAACATAGTAGTCCATGGAGATGGCAGACTTCACATTCCAAAGAAGGATAGCATCTTCGCCTTCATCTTCATCTCTTCATTGTTACCGTCTGCTCAGCGTAGATCTTCATATCGAGAAGTGCAAGGGAAGTTGGAGTGGAAGATGTTGTGAAGTAGAAGTTGCGGCGAGAGCAAGCCGAGATTGTGATTAGTCAGCAGGCTACTTTGTGACAGGAGAAGTCGCAACATCCGAAACAACGACAAGAGGCCATCTTGGACGATCAAGAGTCGGAGTTGGAGTTGACAGCGTCAGGCCCAGGATGGCGGTAGGTTTAACATGATAACAATATATACAATTACAGTCATAAACACAGGTATGTACACGCCTAGCAGTTCTCGCCCATGACAACGTCAGACTGGACGCCGTCGTTCGGCCCTCCAACCGCTTGGACGACAAACTTGCTGCCAGCCTTCTGCAGCTCCATCCTCGTCTCAAACCCGTTCTTCGGGAAGTTGGCTATCTCCTTGACCTCGCCGGAGTCCGAGACAGAGAAGATCTTCCACGAGTCTACGTCCGTCGCGCCGTTCCAGCTCACATAAAACACCACCGCGCCGTTCGGGTCGGCGCCGCAGGCCTTGACGCTCGGCTTCGTCTTGGGCGTACCTACCCAGGCGCTGCGGTAGGCGCGGTAGCAGTTCGTGACGCCGTCGTTGCCAAAGCGGGCGTCCATGACGATAGCGCCGTTGGCATCGTACTCTTCTATCACGGGGATGGCTCCCTGGCCCATCAGGATGTGGTTGTTGCCAAGCACCTGGTAGCTCCCCTGAGCCCGAGAGACAACGGGCTTTTCAGAGTTCCATACCATGCGGTTCAAAGAGACTTTCTTGGCGTTGAGATCGAGATCGAGCACGAGGCCGGTTGTCGGCTTGGTTTGGTCGTCGGGCGTGAAGTCGGCGTTGTCGTTGTTATGCGTGGTCAGCGTGATCTTGTCAACGGTGTGCTCTTCGACCCGGACTTCATGCTGGTAGCAGAAGTTCGTGCCGGGGCCGAGCTCGAAGTCACCTCCATCAATGCCCTAAGAAAACAGACCGTTAGTTAGTTGCTCGGGAGTGCAAGGGACATACATAGATCCGGAAGAAAAGAGCTCCAACTTACGTTGAGACGCCAGACAATCTTGCCCTCCTTGGAGATGAGGAAGATGTTGCAAGAGTATCGAGATGAGACGATATAAGAATCCCCGGACTTGTAGACGGAATTGACGTGGATATAATTCCACGGGTCCTTGGATGAAGTTCCAGCTCCCTCAAGTGGCTTCAGGGAGAAGGTGACGGGGATCTCATCGAGGTGTTCGGCCGCACTCCAGCGGAAGAGAACGTCGTTGGTCTTGATGTCCATTTCCAAAAAGCCTCCATCGACAACCCAACCCTTCTCTGGTCCACCAACAGCTCGAAGATCTGCCTCAGTGACATTGACAACCGTCACGACGATGGTTCCTTGGTCGGTGATCTGGCCTTCGTGGTTGTCCATGTATGATGGGAACTTCATGGGCTCATAGATCGTCTTGTAGTATTCGTTATCGCCGCCGGGCAGAATCACCTCGTGGATCTTCTCATACGAGCTGTCGAAGATGCTCATAGATCCCAGCCCGAATCCAGTCTCGTTCGCAAATCCGAACCAGCTGACCATCACTGGTTTGCCGTCAAGAAGCTGAGGCTTGAAGCCATATGTGCTCGCGTCTTCCGGTCCCTTCCAGACAACCTGGCCATTGTCGTCGAAGATAGCTGGATGTCCGATTTTTCGAGCCTTATCTCTAGGACTGAAGAAGATGTAACCCGGCTCTGTTTGGCCTTTCTTCGTCACATTGAAAAACGGTGTCTGGATATCTGTACTCTGGAATGTCTGCACCGGCCAGAGGTTTTCAGGAGGCGACTGTGCAGATACAGATGCTGCACCAAGGTAGGTGGCCAGCAGAGTAGCCAGGCATGAGCTGCTTAGGGAGTTGAGGCGCAGCATCTTGAGTCTTTTTTCGAGTTCTCCCAACGGTCACAGATTCCACTGCAGTTCTCTCTCTCCAGGATAACTACACCGTAGGCCAGGAGAATAGCAGGGTGTATATATATATTTATGCCTACACCATAGTGGCATGGCACCCTGTCTGTATTTAAGGCATAATACGCAGTAATATTCAGATTTCTTCCCTCATTCTCGTGGGATGCCGAGTTAGAGCGTCGATCAGTTTGAGGTTCATCACTGCTGGAGCCCTACCCCGGCCGAGAGCTCTGAACGGGTCGATCCCGGCCTCTACGATTCCTCATATCAAACCCCGGCCTTGCAAGGTATTGTGGCAGGAGGTGGCGATCACAATACTCGAGGCGCTGTTTACAATGTTTGCTCGCCCGACTTCAAACATGCCCGGAGCCACCTCCATCAGCCTCTAATTAACGGAGAACTGGCTCCAAGACACTCAAAACGAGAGATTGTCCAGCCTGCCGTGTTCATCGGTTCGTTATAATAATAACACTGACGTTGACGTACGCACGTTATAACACCTCTCAAGGAGTTATATATCAACTGCAGGATCTATATTTACTTGAACAGCACTCCCCTGCCCCGAAGACAGCCAAGCTTCCCGCCGTTAACCTCTCCTGCATGAAACCCAGACATGACAGGCCGATACATGGCTTTGTGCTTCTTCTCAAGCCACCCTCGTATCACCGACTGACAGGCACACCCGCTCCTCTCCTATTTGACTAACAACTGACAAATTAGAAGCCCCAGGGAGCACCGCTTCTCCATTACATACTCCGCCATATAAAAGAATCAGTTCGTCCCTCCGGTTCGGCCAAGTAGTTTGTCTTCTTGCTAGTTCTCGGCATTCGGAATTGCGATGGCAAGTGCTCCATAAAGTGCATGTCCGGAACGATTAGCCGGCACTTCTCGAGTGTTGGGCGGGCTTTGCAACATCGTATTCACCTGAGCCGAGCAAGTCAAAGGCCGTAACCAAGTGAATATCTGTCAGCAATGACCTTGAATGAAATACTTCTGATACCTTAGGTGTACTGTACCTCTGCTGTCTTCATGGTTATCTATGGAGTTGCTGTGGCAATGTGAATTTTTTAGCGTCTCGCTGTTAAGGAGTAATTCATTTACTCGCTAACTACCTACTGGTGAATCAAATATTAATTCACCTCCGCAATGCGATGTCCATGTGTAGTAAATACCCAGATACCAGATATGAAGCATCATCAGCTCTATTATACCTCAACGCTCCTCCATTCAGCCCTGCGGTGAATATCTTTCAATCACCTTCCTCAGTCAATAATACAAATATACTATGGTGTCTAGGATCTTTTAGTGTTCCACGTCCAGCTCAGCGGGTATCCGACTACGTTACAGAAATACCTACGGCAAGACGATGAAAACGATATGCCATTCTGCTAAAAGGTTGAGCATATGTTCAAATTAGCCAAGGAATAAGGAGACCATTGGGTCTGATGCAAAGCCTCAAACTCCAAATGACGATATATCAATGTCCAAATCACAATAAGGGCCTTGAATCCGTTTTCGGAATGAATACGCGGAGAGGATACTGTCAAAATATAATTTCATCCTGTCTACCCCTAATGTAGACTCACCCATTGGTTGATTGATATATTCTGCTTAATGCTTAGTTTACTGGATGGCCTTTACACTCTAGGGTTTGATGCGAATATATTTCTATCTGATCTAACTTGGAGCCCTGGGTAACATCTTGCATGCGTCATTGACTATACATATACCCCGGCGCTGGATTGCCCTACGATCTTAATATCCTCTATGATTTGACCTCCAGCTATCATGAAGCGCTGACTTGGCTAGATGTTGCCTTTCTTTATATCACCTCCTCAGCTTCATACCTCATTGCCATCACTGCTTACTATGCTGAACCTCCATGGTCCAGTTATCGCCCATCGAACTTCTATCACTCGAAAACCTCCTACAGGCCCAGATCGTGGACGAAGTTCGCCATCCATTGTGCCGGTTGAACTCATGAACGGTTGTTTATGTGTTTACCTATACCGACTACAACATATTTCCCATATAAAACTAACTCCATTCTTTTCTTACAATTATGGTGCCTACGAGAGAGATAGTGGTAGGGTAAAGTTCCCCGGACTGAGGTACCACGATCCACTGCGGATATAGCGTCGAGGGCAACCAGCAGTTCTGTTTAGTATGTCCAGGAGCATATATATCTCGGCTTAGTACATCATTGGCATTAGGTATAAAGGCAAAATTGGACTTTTTCATGAATTATAAGCCAGAATGATAGTATTATACATTCTATAAATATGTACAGTTGTGGGTGTAATGCAGGCTTACTCGTTAGGAAAGTCCTCGTGTAGCCACGGATCACTGAGCAGTTCCTTTGCAGTACTGCGCTCCTCTGGTCGCCATTTGATCATCCGCTGCACGAAGTTGATGAATCTTCTCTTCCGTTCTCCATTCATATTGCAGATCGTATTTTGGAAAGTGAAGTTCTCTGGAATCAGTGACGGATTTTGCAGAGTTCCTATCATGTGTCTTAGTTTGCGATCAATCATGTATGGCACTAGACCAGCACTTACCATCTGGCTTGTAAAACATTGTTGTCCGCTTGCCCTTGTCAAGTAGGTCTTTCGGCGCAGGGCCTAGGAGTGCAGTTATCAGCGCGAGGTGTCGTTCATCATCATACTCCTCAACATATAGAGGGTCGACATCTTGGAAAAGGGTTCTGCCTTCAAGGAAATCCCACAGCTTTATCAATTAGTTCAAACGTTAGAAAAAAGGACTTCAAGAGCTCAACACACCATGACTCCTAAGCTCCAGATATCAGCACTATAGCTGTATCCTTTATCTAGCACAACCTCAGGCGCCCGGTATACCTCTGCCTGGATACACCCATCATGGTTAACAGGACCATCGCCACGAACCGATAAGTCAAAGTCCAAAATTTCAATAAGTCCGGTAATCCTCTTTAATGGACCATAGTTCCTGCGAGAACGATATATGATGCGCCCATCCTCGTAGTGCTTCTGAGGTAATGGGTTACTATATTCTTCTTTGGCAGAGAGGGAGAGAAGAGTAGTATCTTCCAACTTCACCATAATATTATCCGGTTTGAGGTCTAAGTTTTGGATTAGTAAATTTCTCGAGCTATACATACAGCAAAATGCCTACCAGTGTGAATAATGTGGCATTCAGAATGTAAATAGTCGAGTGCTTGGAGAATCATCTGGAGCACTATTCTGAATATCTCCGGGGGCATCACACCATCTTCCCATCTTCTACAGTAGCGCCCAAGGCTTTCCCGTAGGGGCTCAAAAACAAGACAAGCGTGAAGTTTCTTCGAAGTAGGATTTTCGAGAAGAAATGTGTCAAGCAGATGACGAGTGAAGTGCCAGCCAGTATGTCGGGGATTCGCTGTCGAAATATGACGAAGGATATTTATTTCAGAGTCCCCGGAAATTTTACGGGTATCATGATTGGAATTTATCTTCACTGCCACATACTTTTCCTTGAGCCAGCGCCATCTAGGAGGAGTTAGTATGTTTGGATTAAATGCTAAGGTTGTCGAGGCCACACACCGGTGAAGGTCTTTAGCAAGCCAAACCGTCGCTCTACTACCATGGCCCAACTTATTCACTAATTGGTAACGATTATGGAGAACCTCTCCCAGTCGTGCTGGGTAAAAGTATAATGGGTCATAATATGGTGAATTTTCTTCCTCAACTGGTTGGCTTAACTCCAATTTTGGCGCGAGAGCTGTCGGATAGGGCCAGGCGGGGTGTCGAAGAAGCTTAAGAGGGTTTAATACTAAGCTGAGAGATTGACGCATGGTTATTCATTGAGGAGCATGTCTTCGTTCAGGTGGCTTTCGAATAAGATAGTAAAATCAGGTTGGTTGTACTCCTTACTGTGGTTGCTAAAGCGCTGGATTGTCAAATTCAGTCGTTAAACTAGCTTGTAACCAAATTAGTTAACTAACTAGTTAGTCAACTAGTTGATTAGTGGCTTGGCGCAACTGGTTATTTTTAGAGTAGCTCAGGGGGGATGATAAACGTAAGTTGACAAGCTGTTTAGTTGGCCTACTGGCGAACTTGATAGCCAGATAACTCAGCGATAATCACCAGTGTACAAGCTTGTGTTGACAACATCTGTAACATGTTTGGGGGTGGCTATATTTAGGAACCAATCAAGAAAGCGTTACCCTTCTTCCTGACCTTGGTATGATTCTGGATTAACCCGAGACTCTGGTTAACGGCGCTAAGCTGCATCGATGAGTATTTCAGAGAGGTCGAAAGGTTTCTTCCAATTTCTAGCAGTATGATTACGGCGCTTAGCATAGAATGGGGCCATGCATTGATAATTTATAGATACGTTCGGGCGCTAGACGTAAGGAAGTATTTAAGTAGCTCCCTGGTGCCATATGCGACGAAGAAATCTAAGTTCTGCTCGTCAATCTATGTTGTCATTCCACAAGCTAGCTCTATCAAAACGCCAATTTCTTTGGTTACAACCATTATGTCTTCCTTTCGTCGCGCATTCTCGAGCACCGCTCGGAGCTTACTCGAGTTTGTATGGAAAGGAACGAAGCCCATCCCTGAATACGAGGAGAACATAAAAACCCAGGTCGGGAAAAACTACAAGCTAGATGGTGTGGATAGGATTGAAATTGCGTTAGTACCCTTCCGCAATGCACCATGCCCCAACCACTGCTAATTGTATGTATAGTGGTGGTGAACATGACTCGGCTGCCGATCCTGATATGCGAGTGTCTGGCCAAATATTCAAAGGCCATCGCCGAGTTACATCAGTTCATGCCTACAAAGATGGGAGGGTCGTTTACTCGAAGGAGTTATTCAACGAATCGCAGGGATAGATCACTTACATTGCTGTCGTTTTCATGGGTTCACGTGGCAGGTAGAGGGACAAATTGATAACCCCTAGGAAAGTGGTCGTAGATATGTGATTAAATATTTGGATTTGAAGCCAAATTTGCGTCATGATGATTGGAATCTAAAGCAGTTGCTCGCTCATACAAATGCCTCACTTCTCAAGCATCATCCATAAGTTAGTCGGCCAAGTCGAACTTCACTTACATATTTATTCCGTAACAGTTTGACAACAACGTTTATGATTACAATACGAATAAGCACTTGCCACTATTATCTCGTTCTAATTGCTGACGCCTTCAACTGACACTGACGAGAGACCTACGTACAACTTGTTCTCCTTGAAAATCCAAACCCTGATTTTAACTTTTATACACGAGTTAAGGTTGCAACCGGGCCGGCTTTTTCTTGGCACTGGGCCACAACTTTAACTAGTTAAATGTGTCATCTGACCAACACGTGACTGTATGTTTTCCTGCTAGAGGCCAACGACAGAACAGGAACACCTTCGTATCTTGCCTTGTGTCATCTGAGGCGCATCAGCGAAATTTCAGCCTGTTATACCAGGGTAGAGGGGTATATCATACTCTTTATTCTGCTACAGCCTGGCTTGAAGCGAAGGCCGAACATACTGTGATTCTATTTATGGTTTGCTCGCCTTCGGTGCCTGAAGGAATGATCATCATCATGCAGGTGCTTAGTTTAAGGCTGAGCAGGCTTCATCCTTCATACGTGGTTCTCTTTCTTTATTTAATAATCTATTTCAATAAGTCTTACTGGTTATTATGCCGCATTTTCCATACAATTCCCTTTATTTGATGAAACCGGATATCAGTTGGTTTAGAGCCATTTACAGCATCTGGTGCCAACGGCTTTGAAATGCAAGTACCGCGGTCAAGTTTGGGCTCTCAAGCATGGTAACACGAGTCGGCTTATACCCACCTTTCCATAACCCTGGACTTGATATCCTCAGCTTCTGTGTAAGGCTTAACAGGAATATTTGGCCTTTTATTTGCCTATCTCTATTGGCCCCTTTACCCACCGGAGTCAGCATGTTATGGAGTCATCCTTTCATAAGCAAATTCTTGCGGCCCCCGAAGCTAAGTATCTGCATAATGGGACAAACTCTGCACGGCAGATCCTGTCATTAGCATCCTATAGTCGGGATTGTCGGCTCCCTTAGCCTATTGGTGTACTACATTGCTGCGGACTGGTCCGAGCCATGGCATGCGTGCCTGTTTCAAACGAGCACCATATCTATCTCTTATTTCCCACGGAAGACGAAGCCATTCTAATATCTCGAGTCTCTTCAAGCTTGGACCGAACGCTTGTTTCAGATACCGTTCTGCGCATGAGTCTTCCCCCTCATGCTTATATTTTCCTTGTTGGCAGCAAGAAGATCTGTACTTCACTGCCTCAGATGCCTTTAAATATATTGAAAGGAACTCTTTTCTAGTAACAGTTAACCACTTACTAGCTAATGAAGAAGATAGCCAGCGCCCTGATAAATATGTAATTGTTCGCATCCAGACTTTCATCAAAGTCATTATCTATTACCCTTCTTTCCTCTCTCCTCTCAGCCTCATCGTATGAGCTTGATGCTCTTCTTATCTCTCCTATTTCCTTGATATCTCTATTTCCTATCACTAACGCGTGCTGGGTTCACGCGCATATATACCCACTTATATCTCTCCGCACTCTTGTCTAGACTATAGGCTAAATACGTGACGCAAAACAGATTCTGTGCTTCTTTTTTTCTATATCCTGGCTCTACTTCTTTTCTCTTTCTACTTTTCTCCCTCTAAGTCTCAAACAAATCTACTTTGCTCTCTGTGTTTTGTTCTTTGCCAGCTTGTTCTCATTTTCTTTTTGTTTCTGCTTTGTGTTTATTCCCATTAAGCGCGGCCTTCTTCCTGGTCTCTGTATATCTTTGTTTTTTACTGAAAATGGCACCGATCCTTGATCACTTAACGACTCCCGTCGCCCTTTCAGTGCGGTCGTTTGGACTCGGTGGACCAGCTTCTAGCATGGTTATCATTGATATTGCCATGACGAGCGTTGCAGTTGCTCTTGTTATAAACCGCGTTATTGTTCGGCTGGTGACAAGCAAGAAGCTGGCATCGGATGATTTCGTTATTATAGGATCGTTGGTAAGTCTCCTCGGGCTTGTGTACTAGATTCAAGTTGCTAATTGGATATGTATATATGTAGATCATTTGTGTTGCCATGAACGTTATCAACGTTGTGGGTACGTTTTAGATCCAACTGATATATCCATGCCACGTATCTAACCTCCGTATAGCTGTTAATCATGGCTATGGGCGACCTTCATTTGATGTGCCCGAGGATGACTTGAAAATAGCTCTTGAGGTCAGTTGTTGTTAATGACTGTGTCTTTATGCATGTTTAGACTGACTCATCATTACCACTGTAGCTATACTTTGCCCTGCAAATGCTTTATAGAGTGACTATAAACATGACGAAGCTTTCAATTCTGCTCTTATACCGCAAGATATTTGATACCGAGAGGTTTCGATTCAAACTTATCTGCGACGTCCTATTCGTCTATATCATGCTTTACACAGTCGCCACCTTTATTGTCACGATTTTTCAGTGTGACCCAATCCCAAAAGCCTGGGCAAGAGATTTGCCAGGGACTTGCGTCAATCTTACTGCTTTCTGGTATGCAAACGCGGCATTGCACACCTTGACGGATGTCATAATCTTGCTTCTCCCGATGCCAGTCATTAAGGGGTTGAAGTTGCCCCGACGCCAGAAACTTGCATTGAATCTGGTATTTGCACTAGGGATATTGTATGAATTCCTGTATCTTACCTTATGTGAAAACCAAGGATAACCTGGCTAACTCTCGTCGCTTTCCAGTGTCTGTGGGACTTCTATTGCACGCATGCTTACCCTTAATACGTCTTCTAAGGCGAGCGACGTGAATGAGGGGACGACACTTTCAACGTTATGGACAACAATCGAAGCCAACACAGCTATTATCTGTGCTTGCCTGCCAATGGTTCGGATTCCTCTATCAAAGATTATTCCGTCCCTATTCCCTACGTTTCAATACAGTGACAGCATCTCCGACACTAGTAGTGAGGCTTCTACCACCAAATCTAATAGCCCGTTTATTACTACCTGGTGCTCACTACGAAATTCACGAAGCTCTTCCATATCTGAAACGCAGACGATGCTATCCAATTCTTACGGCCTCGCAAATATCATATTCCCTACTTGGGGATAGGACCATCAATTCTTACGGTGGCAGGGTTCACTTTGCCACTTCCCTTTTCCCCTCTCGGCCTCCGGCCTTTTAGTTTCATTCTGATTACTCGACTTTCAAGGTTCTGTAGGTTGGCTTTATTTGGTGTGGTGCATGTTTTACGATATCTAATGTTGTTCATGCTTCTCATGTTGGGGCTTGTTTTGGCGTTTAGGGGAACAGTACGGGGATGAATGAAATGTACAATGATGATCCAACTGGCGGGAGTTATGGGAAGGGAGCGCTGTTTCAACCCACGGTTTCAGAATATGCGATCTGGTATGACACTCGGTATAGGGGGTTAACATGCATGTTTTCTGAATTCATTCATCAACGACGTTTGCTTTATCTTTTTCTTATCGCTTATCGTTTCGTGCTTATCAAGGTTATCTATCGCTGACTAAGCCAAAATTCGCGACACAATTTCTTGCTTTTCGAGGGATGATTGAAGATTGATTGATATTCAGCCAAACAGCAGCTGATTCTTCGTCGCGCTCTCAGGATCATGGGCCCAAAGAAGGGCGGTGGGAATCGTGCTGGGCCCAAAAAATCCTCGAGCTCGCAGCCAGCAGAGATCTCCATATCTGACTTTGTTGCTGCGGGCGAGAAAAATGAAGCTAAGAAATCGAAAGCTGGAGCTAAGTCCAAAGGCAAAGATGCTGGAGGGGAGGCCGCGAACAATCCGGAGGAGCCCAAGAAGCCCTCCGTGAGGGCTGTTATAGGCGGGGCATCATGGACAGGCAAATTGCCTGTTAACATGCTTTCGGAGCATTGTCAAAAGCAGAAGTGGGCAAAGCCCGAGTACACAATGGTAAGTTATTATATATTGGATATTTGCCATGTTTTGTCATGATGATACTGACGGAATAGACTAAAAACGCAGATGGCTTTCTGGCAGATGTGATATTGAAAAAGGTTAACCCCAAAACGAACGACACAGTGACACTACCCCCATTCCGCCTGCCTCCCTCCCACAGGAAACTAGGCACACAACCGACAGCTGTGGAAGCCCGCCACTTTGCTGCTGCCTATGCTCTGTTTCGAGTATGTAATATGCGGAATTTGCATATGATGATGCCTCCAACTTTTCGTGATTTATGGAAAGACCAGTTTGCCGCACTTAAGGCTGAAGATGTTAAAAAGGGAAATGGCTGGATGTATGAAGCTGATCCTTTCACGACGTTCCAAGAAAGGAATAATGCCGTCGCTGAACTTACACGGCGGAAGGAACAAAAGGCGAAGGAACCAGCTAAACAGAAAGAGGATCGTGTCCAGCTCGGGCTATCGTCAGGTGGAGGTAGCGGCAGTGGGAATACAGGGGGCCGCTGGCTAAAGGCGCCGAAAATTGATATGGGTGACAAAGTGCGTGGGAGAGTTGAAGAACTTATTAGAAGGAGAGCTGTTTGGAATCCGTACGGGATTGAAATATCTGAGAGTGGAAGAAGGAGCATGATGGATGAGTTTGTGAAGCTTGGCTTCCGAACCCGCCATGTTGAAGAAGCACTTTCAGAATGTAAAGATAGAGAGGAAGCTCTTGAGTGGCTACTCATCCATATACCGGAAGATGACCTTCCTCCGTGGAGTTTACCGGAAGGATATACCGCTGGCATAACGTTGGCAAGCAACGACCTTGCACGAGAGTCTAAAATAAAACGACTCTCTGCTGCTGGATACTCTGCAGATCTCTGCAGCTCAGTTCTCGATAAGTATGGAAACGATGAACGACTTGCGGCGGAAGCTCTGCAACACCTGTTGATTTACAGTCGAGACCTTGATATTGAATCTGAAAGTCCGGTCAACGGTAATGCTATTTGGGAGGAAGAACATCAAACGTTAGAGGCTATTTTTGATACCAAATATGAAAGGCTATCTAAAAACGCATGCCAAATCATGTCAGAACATGGGACTTTACCATCTATTACATACTCTTTCTGGAACCCAGCGAGAGCTGTTTACCCCGAAAGTCCTCCTGTTGTGGCCATTGTCACAAAGGAAATACCTGCGTATATCCGACTGAGTGCTACACGACAAGCAATACAACATGCCCTGGCCGATCTTAGAGGGGAGCCAATGATTTTTAACATAATTGACTGGCTGAATGAGAACCTACCTTGCATTTTGGAGAATCCTGGGAAATTACGAAGCATTTCTGTGGAGGCCGGTGATAATTTGAACGGCGAGAACGATTTACCTCGTACCTCTAATCAAGGGTCAAAGTCAAAGTTGGCTAGAGGAATGGCCCTTCGGCCTAAGGGCCCTGCTAGTAATGACATCCGACGTAGCTGGGAGGCCAAACAGACTACACCTGAGCAGCAGAAGATGCTCAAAGCAAGACAAGCTCTGCCAGCGTGGGATATCCAAGATGCAATTCTGGACGAAGTTCACTCACACCAGGTCACAATTATTTCCGGTGAGACAGGTAGTGGAAAAAGTACTCAATGTGTCCAGTTTATATTGGATGATTTGATACGGCGAGACCTTGGTTCATCCGCAAATATTGTTTGCACACAACCACGAAGAATTTCTGCCCTAGGTCTTGCCGATCGCGTTAGTGCAGAACGATGTTCAAGCGTTGGTGACGATGTTGGGTATATTATTCGAGGTGATTCAAAATCAAAACCAGGTGTAACTAAGATCACATTTATGACCACCGGTGTCCTACTACGACGTCTGCAAACGGCCGGCGAAAGTGTTGTTGAAGCTTTAGCCGATATCAGCCATGTGGTTCTTGACGAGGTCCATGAGAGAGGTCTGGATACTGATTTTCTCCTTGCCGTACTGAGAGAAGCTTTGAGAATCCGAAAGGACCTGAAATTGATCCTGATGAGTGCCACTCTAGACGCCAATATGTTCATCAACTATTTTGGTGGGGATAAGCAGGTTGGAAGAGTCAATATTCCGGGTAGGACGTTCCCTGTTGAAGACATATATCTGGATGATGTGCTCCGAAGCACTGGCTTCGATTCAAACACGCCATATGAGGGCTCTGACGAAAGCGAACAATCGCTGGGCAAAGCTATCCAGAAGCTGGGCAGTGGAATCAATTATGATCTTATATCCAGCACTGTTCAACACATTGATGCTCAGCTCGGAAATGAACCGGGTGGAATCTTGATCTTTCTACCAGGAACAATGGAAATAGACAGATGTTTGTCTTCCATGAAGCATTTACATTTTGCCCACTTACTTCCTCTGCACGCTTCATTGCTCCCAAATGAGCAGAAACGAGTCTTCAATGCACCGCCGACTGGAAAGAGAAAAGTGATTGCAGCCACAAATGTTGCAGAAACATCCATTACGATCGAGGATATAGTGGCCGTTATAGATACTGGCCGAGTCAAAGAGACACGATATAACCCAGTCGACAACATAGTACGACTAGAAGAAACATGGGCCTCCCAAGCAGCTTGCAAGCAACGTCGAGGTCGAGCTGGACGTGTTCGCAACGGTATCTGCTTTAAACTGTACACTCGAAACGCTGAGAAGAATATGGCATCCCGACCTGAGCCAGAAATCCGGCGTGTTCCCCTTGAGCAGCTTTGCCTTTCTGTAAAGGCGATGAGAGGGATTCAAAATGTACCTGACTTCCTTGCAAACACTCTCACACCTCCAGACAACGTTGCTGTGGGCGGAGCCTTGCATATGCTCCATCGCATGGGGGCTCTTGACAATGACCAGCTAACTGCCCTTGGACGCTATTTATCCATGATTCCTGCAGATTTGCGGTGTGCCAAATTGATGGTTTATGGTGTGATATTTGGATGTATAGAAGCATGCTTGACCATCGCTGCTATTTTGACAGTCAAGAGCCCGTTTGCAAGTCCAAGGGAAGCCCGCGAGGAAGCCAAAGAGGCTCGAAGTTCGTTTTCCAATGGAGATGGAGATCTTCTGACAGATCTCGCTGCATACCAGCAATGGACGGACAAGATCCGTGAGCAAGGTTATCGGAAAGCCCAGGTATGGTGCCGGGACAAGTTTCTACTTCCACAGACACTACAGGATATCTCCTCCAACCGGGCTCAGCTTCTTGGGTCTTTGAAAGATGCAGCGCTTTTGCCAGTTGATTATAAGGATCCTGATTGTGAAACCCGCTGGAATCGTCACAACAAGAACACCCATTTAATTCGCGCCCTGATATCAGGTGCGTTTAACCCTCAGATTGCGTCGATATCCTTCCCCGAGAAGAAATTCGCTTCATCGATGACTGGAACCATCGAGCTCGACCCCGAGGCTCGCACGATCAAATACTTTAACCAGGAGAATGGCAGAGTATTTGTGCATCCCAGCTCTACCTTGTTTGATGCCCAGGTATTTTCCGGGTCTGCACAATACGTGAGTTATTTCACCAAAATGGCAACAAGTAAAGTCTTCATACGAGACGTGACGCGTGAGTATTTCTCTTACACCCAAGCCCTTATGGTGTATAGCTAATTAATCTTTTGATAGCATTTAATTCCTATGGCCTTCTGTTATTCACCGGGCAAGTGACACTGGACACCCTGGGTAGAGGCGTGCTGGTCGACGAATGGCTCCGGCTCCGAGGTTGGGCTCGAATCGGAGTCCTGATTTCTCGGCTGAGAATGATGCTTGATGAAGTATTGAGACGAAAGATTGATAATCCTGGTCTCAATGTGGAGGAGGACGAAGTGATTGATGTCGTCCGCCACCTCGTCCTACTTAACGGGCAAGATTTATAAACCTATTACTATCCGGTATTCTTCATTATTATTATTTTGTTGGATAAGCGCTATTGGTTGGCAGATAGAACAATTTCCGTACTATATAAAATGGTGAATAGATTTGAGGTGAATTATCATATCGTGTCATGATGCAAATAGCACTGCGACGAATTACCATGGAGAAATGCTAGCCTAGATAATTGGAAGATAAGATAATATACATTTGCATAATGGTTTAGCATATATGAAAGCCGAATAATGCGGAACAGCTGAAAGTACATTGCAGGGAAGATATATATTCCCAATAGGACTCCAACTGGAAAGATAGCTTTTGTATACGGATGTCGTTCTTAGCCAGTCAATACCAGGTGCTCAAGGCTTTCCACCTGCTTTAAAAGCAGCTAAAACATATGTTTCTATATCCAAGGAACTTTGAGTCTGTTATCAAAACGATGTCTAAGCTCGTTTCACACGGCTTCCGCTAGACTTGACCTTTCGTGCTTCAGGTCTGTTGATGTGATGAGCTGGAATCCACTCAGTATCGTAAGTCTTGGTCGAAGGAGTTCCTTCGGCGGAAGTCGGATCTGTAGCGTCGACCGAAGAAGAAACGCCGGCTGACTTTCGGGCACGATCAGATCCCTTCCCACCCTTGCGCTTCTGAGGGAAGTAAGGTGCAATCCAGAGAGTGTAGAAGAAGTAGACAGAGCCTGCTGCGCAGGCCAGGAGGAAGAGGTAGAGGAAGAGGCTGTTGAACAATCATATACGTTAGCGATTACAATGAGAAAGGTGCAGGAGCATTACCCCATGGACAAAAGGCGTTAGAAGCTTACACTTGAGGGTCAAAAATGCTGGTATCTTGCTCTACAACACTAACAGTGCCGTTGTAAGCAGTGATTGGATGCATAATTCCTTTGCTATCGCTGATCACGGCAGCAAGGTTTAATGTCAAATCCTGAGGGTGCATGTCGTTGGTGAAGACATAAGGAAGAGAGATTTGATCTCCAGCGGGGATGTCCATGCCGTATGGAGTTGCAGTAAGGTTTCGGACGTTAACGGGGAGCTTCCCTGGAGCTTCAATTGTCCAAAGGGATCCTCCGATAACGCTGACGGTTACGGTTTCAGGATCTGGGTTGGTAAAATGGAGAAGCGCCTCGGTAGGCTGGCCGTTGACAAGCTTGACCCCGAACACCTCAGCATTGGGGAATGTCGTTGATACTGTTACTCCCAGCTTCGGTACATTGGCTGGAGCCTCAGTGTTTTCCTCAGTCCCAGCCTAGCAATTATTGTTAGCTATTGGTTACCTCTCTAGATTGCTTTTGGGGTTTAGATATCATACAGATCCCTGGCCATTGACGAAGACGGACTGGGCTGCGAGGAGCGCAAGGGAGAGAAAAGAGAGTTTGCCCATATTGACGGCAGATGTGCCAGGAAACGGCCACAACAGAGAAAAAGGAGACCGGCGAGGAGGAGGAGGAGGAGAGGTGGTGAGCAGTTCGAGTGTCGGTGCGATGTTTGGTCTTGTGGCTTTTCACGCATTTTCTCCACGTATACAGAATCGCGATCGCTGAGTCAGCAAGCGCTTATCCGCGCGGCTTCAATAGTCGCTAATTGATTAGTTAATTGGCGCGCTAATCTCTTTTTTTGAAACGGGAAGAAGCAAGCGCTTACAGACGAGCCCGCAAGCATCGTTCTTTATACCACCAGCCTCTGCGGCTTCTGTTTCTTTATCAAGCTACTTCTGGAGGGCCATATATATTTCCCTTGTCCCTCTCGATTTCACAGTTTCTTTCCTGTCTTTCATATTTTTTGTAAGTGTTCGAAAATGGCTCCTGTATCCGCCCAAGCTCAGGAGTTCTTCAACCGGTACGAGCAATTGAAGGCTATCGAACAGACCAAAAATCTTTTGATAGAGGTTAGTAGTAGTTTTTCTCGAATCCTAGCCAAAAAATTGCCCAATTCCTCCCTTAATTCTGAATATTATGTTGTAAATTCTAATTTAGCTGTCTTACAGGATCTACTTAGTAGAATTACGGAGCTTGAAGATGCCTATCAGCGAGAGCGGTTAGATCATGACAGAGAAACCAGATTTAATCGCGAAGTGCAGATGCATGAAATGGAGCTTATGGAACAGTTGACGAGGTTTAAAACTGCTATGGTATAACTCTCCGTAAGCCTATGTGTCTTGAATCCAAGGCTAATAGATCGTTCTCAAAAGGACCAAGAACCTTTTGTAATTGCACTTCTAGATGGCGATGGCATGATATTCCGAGACTCTTTAGTTCAGCAAGGAGAAAAAGGAGGAAAAGACGCCGCGAATCAACTCTGGTTAGCTATACGTGACTATACATCTGAGACCTTCACCAACATCCATTCGCCGAAGATCGTTGCGAGAATATATGCGAATGTGCGAGGTTTAGGGGAAACTCTCTTTAAAGCTGGGATTATTGATAAACTTTCTGTCTTTGAAGACTTCGTTCGTGGATTTAACGGAGGCAGATTGCTCTTCGATTTTGTCGACGTTGGGAGCGGTAAGGATAGAGCAGATGATAAACTTGCAGGCAAGTTATCCAGCTTCTCACATTACCATCATGGTTATATTACTCGAAAAAACAAACTAATAAGCTGCTCTCACAACAATAGAAATTCTAAAAGTGAATTTATACAATTGCCATTGCCAACAAATATTTTTGGGTTGCTCCCACGATAACGGTTACGCACGTCTCCTTGAAGATAATTTAGCCGATATAGAACTCACAAGAAGAATTACTCTCTTGGAGGGATTTCCCTTTGAGAGGGAGCTTGCCTCGCTTATAGGCTCGTATAGAGTGACGAAGTTTGAGACCTTATTCCGGGAATCAAAAATAACTCCCTCATCAAATCATACTTGGGAAAACGCCGTCACCACCGCAAATTCATATTCATCATCAAATATTGGGCACCCCAATCCTCGGGCCGTGAGCAGAACTCCCTCGAACTCCAATGGAACAGCAGCCACCACTTCTGCTGCCTCAGCTACTTCGGGCAGCAGCAGTACCACGCCAGCAACGTGGGCATCTACTATTGCAGCCAGTGCAAGTACAACATTCAAAGATTTAACACCATCCAAACCAAGTACCCCATCTCCGCCGGTTATTGAGCGCAACAAGTATGGACAAAGAGTCGATCGGATAGATTTTAAGGCCGCGCCCAAAGACGAATTAAATCGTGTGAAGAAGTTGAAGCTATGCAACTTATTTTTCCTTCTAGGTGACTGTCCCAACCCAAATTGCTATCATACCCATGACTATAAGCTTGGAAAACAGGAGCGAATGGTGCTGCAGGTAGTGGCTAGAATGACACCCTGCCATTTCGGTACCGAATGTGACGATGCTACTTGTATTTACGGTCACCGCTGTCCTCTCAGCGAGGCTGGAAAGAAAGATTGCTACTGGGGATCAAATTGCCGATTTGATGCTGACGCCCATGGAATTGATACCAATATTGTTAAGCTTACCAAAGTTTGATTGGGGTCGCAATATGTTTCTATTCTGTCAGTTAAGTCTCGAATAATCCTCCCATTCGTTTTTTTTTAGCAAGTTACTTTGTTCTGTCTGATGTGATTGCTCGGGAGGCTTTCATTCGTTTCCTGTGTACCTTTATGGGTGAGGTTATTTGAATTCGGTCTTTTTTTCTTTTATATGCAGTTTTACTTCCACATTATCAAACAGGGCCTTTTAATTATAACGATATTAGGCAGTTAAAACAGAATTGGCCTTTTAACAAACTAATAGATGAAACAAAATATAATTAAATAATTTAAAAAAAGGGCACATAAAAAATGTTCAGGGTACTGTTTATAGACCCCTGAGAATGAATGCTGCAAATGAAAGACAACGCAGAGCCATGCAAATGGGTATATTGATAACCAAGACAAAGCAGAAAACTCGCTAAATAAAGAATGGCCAGCACATAAGGATCACGAAATGGCAGTTTGGAACATCTGGAAACGTCTTTCCCAACCTAGGGAAATAGGGTCGGTCTCTTTGTTTCCAGTCTTGACACCGTACTCTTTAATGCAGCAGGTAAAAGGTTTTGTAGAGACGGTATCTGCTTTTCCGGAATAGAAAGCATCTATATCAGCGCTTTTGCGCTCCTCCAAGTCACCCCATAGAACAAATAGCTTCTCTCGGAGACTAGCTAGTGCATCCGAGTTATCACGTAGGCTAGATATACAAGTTAGTGATATGGTTAGTCAGGGGTAGAATATGATATCAGCAATAGCGTACTTAACGGCGTCCATCTGTAGCAGAAACTCTGCATCAGAGCCCCAGACAAAGAGCGGCATGCGCTCACGTGTCTGTCCCGGCGGGAGAGGAGGAATGTTTGGACCGCCGTCTTCAACAAGGAGACAGAATCGCCACTCCCACCACCGGTTGGCGTCAGAGTCACTGTCATCAGATACGTCGTCTGTATCGTCAGAGAGGAGGGCGAGGTCTCTATTATATAAGACAGAAAAATCTTCTAGGTTATGGGGGAAATAGTCAACCACGCGGACAGAAGAGCGGTAGCGGACGTTTTGGAAAGGTAACTGGAACTCTACACCATCAGAGCCCTTGAATGCATGGGTATCGGCGTCTAGAATGTCCCTAATCAATCGACAAGGTATGGCAGGGTTTGATGCGCGTACTGTTCCGTGGCCATTAGATTGATTGACCGACTAATATGTACGTAGAAAGGTTTGCAAAATACATACTATGGGGGTTTAGCTCATCCCTTTTCGTCTGGACCAGACGAGGGAAATCTGGCTGGTCAGGATCTTTTTTCTTCTTTCTCTTTTCTTCCTTTAGTCTCTCCCGTTTCTCTTGCTGCCTCTTCCTTTTCCTGTCCCTGACAGGGTCAGAGCCAGGCGCTTTTCGTGATTGATTATTTTCACTGAAGTCTTTGGGCAGTTCTACACGTATTTTTTTCCAATACTGCATTTTTCGTTTAACTAACTGCATGAAATGCAGGTCAGTTTCCGTATCGTTGATAATATGTACTTGTATTTTGTGAGGGTATTTCTGATCGGTGTGTAAGGCGCCTTCCATCCGGCCAGAAGTTCTGTCCGCCTTGATGCGGACGTTATAGAGAGTAACATAGTCCTTCTCCTTGACATATTCTCGAGCGTATTCAGCGTGCGGGGTGAAGAGTGTTATAAGGATAGTCATTCTCCCATAGGGGCCACGCCATTGCTTGTCGTTGTCCTTTTTAATGTATTGATACGGACCGTCATCATCGTCCATGCCGTTAGATGGCTGTATATAATTAAAAAGATGGTCATTGGAGGTATAATCAGTGACGTAAAGTATGAACCTATCATCAGCTTCCCTGAACGTTTTGACAACCTCGCCGGTAATGTCTATAAATTTCGAAAATTCGGCATCCTTGAGCAGGCAGAACTTGCGGCTCGGGAGCGCACCCTTTTGTTTCTGGCTTGGAGTCGGATTCAGGGTATGCTGTTTGCCATCTCCACCGTGCTGGCTCTGGGAGATATTTTGAGCAGAGACATTATTTTTCAGCAACAGTGAGGCATACTCACTCTCTTGTCTGGTTGGCTTGAGGCACCCAGGCTTCATCTTGTTGGAGTTATCTCGTTTCCACAGAACCCAGGCGGCGCTGTCGTGGTTCGGAGACACATGCATACGCTCGCCTCTGACAATACTTGACTATTAGGAGGCATTAGCACGCTACCAAAAGGATTAACCCCAGACAGACATTTATACTGGTATCGATACTTACCTTGATATTCCGCAGCAAAATGACATCGCCTACATCAGGGTCCGGGAGATGATCCTTGTTATCATGGAAGTACTTTACCTTGAGGCCTCCCCACGGCCCAGAGCCAACGTCGCGGTCCTTGACCGTGAAGGTCGACATATAAGATGAGCCTGACGTTCTAACTGGACTGAGAGCATCCACAACGACGGCGATGATGCTGACAGCACCAGATGTCCTTGACTGCGCCGTAGCCACATCCTCGAAGCCATGAGGCAGCCGCTCCATCGTCTCCTTCCCTCAATCTCCTGCACTCGCCCGTCGTTTGTACTGTTTGTACTGTTTGGAGCTGTGCTGCAGCTGCTGGTTCACTCAGGCTCAACCGTGGTCGAGACGCAGCCGTGCAGCCATTCAGGCGCCTTGCGAGCTCGCCTAAAGCCCTAGCGGCGTCCTCATCGGTGCACTCGCCGTACCGTCCTCGTCTCCAGTCTCTGTCCGCCGTTTCTTCCTGCCCGCCAGACGTTGTTTGCCGTCCGGTGAAGTCGTTGATTAACCTAGTCTTAGCTAAACTTGGTGGTGGAGAGAGCTGTGAAAGCCAAGCCAAAGCCCACCGAAGGAGAAAAACACCCAAAAAGAAAAAAAAAAACACCACCACCTCTTCTTCTTCTTCTTCCTCTCGCCTTCTTTCTTCCTCCTCCCTCCGCTTCACAACGCCCAACGCCCGCTGTCGACCGTCTTGCTCTCCGCGCCGTCTCGTCTCCCGCCAGGCTGTTCGTCTCTCCTACGCCCGTCGCTCTCTGGTCGTTTTATTCTTGCAGCTGACTCGCGATCCAGGCCAGAAAAAAAGCACACATCTGTGACAGGGACAGCCCCTCACTAATAAACAACCCGCAAGAACCAGCCGTGGAATAGATAAACAGCATCGAAGCGACCACCATCATGGCTGAACGCTACATCCCCGAGCATCGTCGTACCCAGTTCAAGGCAAAGGGCACATTCAAGCAGGATGAGCTCCGCCGTCGCCGCGAGGAGCAGCAGGTCGAGATCCGCAAGCAGAAGAGAGAAGAGAATCTCGCCAAACGAAGAGGTATTGGCGCCGGGATAGGAGCCAGTGATGGCGGCATGCTCGCAGACAGTGACGATGAAGCTGGTCCTATCGAAACTGAGGTATGCCCGCTCCGTTTTTGACACTCCTTTGAACGTGTTTTTTTAGAGGCGTTAAACACCTATCTACACCCCTGACGTCCCTTTTTACCTTTTGTTTTTTACACCATGGAGGGCTATACCACGATGTTATGACTATCTTATCAGTTGTCGTTATTGTTCATATACCACGAGGCTGGAACTGAACTCTTACTGACATATACCAGTTGGATGCGGAGCTCCCAGAGATGGTCAAGGGCGTGTTTTCAGACCAGATCGAACTGCAGATTCAGTCCACCACCAAGTTCAGAAAACTACTCTCCAAGGAGAGAAACCCTCCAATTGAACGTGTTATCGAGACCGGTGTTGTTAGCCGTTTCGTCGAGTTTCTACGATCTCCCCACACTTTGGTCCAGTTCGAAGCCGCCTGGGCCCTGACCAACATCGCTTCTGGATCCGCGCAGCAGACCCAGGTCGTTATCGAAGCCGGAGCCGTCCCGATATTCGTTGAACTCCTCAGCAGCCACGAGCCTGATGTGCGGGAGCAGGCCGTCTGGGCCCTCGGAAATATCGCTGGCGACAGCCCTCAGTGCCGTGACTTTGTACTTGGTGCCGGCGCTCTTCGTCCACTGCTCACTTTGCTGGGTGATGGCAGAAAGCTGACCATGCTCCGCAACGCTACCTGGACTCTGAGTAACTTCTGTCGAGGAAAGACTCCTCAGCCAGACTGGCCTACCGTACGATGCCCCCCCACACCGATTCATTTGGTTTTGTTTATCCTACAGTTACGATGTGACTAACTCTTCTCTAGATTGCACCAGCTCTTCCAATCCTAGCCAAACTCATCTACATGCTTGATGATGAAGTGCTTATTGATGCTTGTTGGGCTATTTCCTACCTCTCTGATGGCCCGAATGACAAGATCCAGGCCGTTATCGAGGCTGGCATCCCCCGTCGTTTGGTCGAGCTCTTGATGCATGCTTCCACATCTGTCCAGACCCCTGCCCTACGATCAGTGGGCAACATCGTCACCGGCGATGACATCCAGACCCAGGTCATCATCAACTGCGGTGCACTCACCGCCCTGCTCTCTCTCCTGAGCTCGAATAAGGACGGTATCCGCAAGGAAGCCTGCTGGACCATATCCAACATTACCGCTGGCAACCCAGCACAGATCCAGGCCGTCATCGATGCCAACATAATCCCACCATTGATTCACCTGCTATCCCACGGAGACTTCAAGACCCGTAAGGAGGCATGCTGGGCCATCTCGAACGCCACTTCTGGTGGTCTCCAGAAGCCAGACCAGATCCGCTACCTCGTCAGCCAAGGCTGCATCAAGCCTCTCTGCGACCTTCTCTCTTGCCCCGATAACAAGATCATTCAGGTTGCCCTTGATGGCCTAGAAAACATCCTTAAGGTCGGTGAGATGGACAAGGAGGCTGGCCAGGGCCCCGAAGCTAACATCAACCGATACGCACTCTTCATTGAGGAGGCTGGTGGTATGGAGAAGATCCACGACAGCCAGAACAACGCCAATGAGGAGATCTACATGAAGGCATACAACATCATTGAGAAGTATTTCTCTGATGACGATGAAGCCGGTGCCGATATCGATGAGCTTGCCCCCCAGCAAACACAGACTGGATTCGCCCTTGGTACCAACCAGCAGCCTACCGGCACCTTCAACTTTGCTAACGGCGATTCAATGGATATGTAAAAGCCGTCTCAAATGGTAAAAGAAATTTTTGTTTCCCACTTAGCTCTCAATGCAGTCCTGCCACTCAGCAGAAATGGTATATTTTTCTCCCTCTATCATCTTGACTGCCTTCCTGAACCCACTCCTTGTGCATCCATTTTTTTTTCTCTATCTATTTCTTTCTTTGCCTTTCCTTTTTCCTCAGATTTAACTGCCATGTTACTTATCCCCATCGTTGATTCCTCCTGCTCTTACCTTTGTAATGAACGTTATATCATGATACACAAGATTCACAGTCATGTAACCCCCTGAGTGTTCTTTTTTTGGTATTTCCTTGCATTAACATTTCCCCCAAGCAGGTTCCATCCATACAGGCGTCGCTTTCTTTCTTTTTTCTTCCTTTTCCTATCTCATTGTCCGCAGCTTTTTCCCCCTTCATTCCCACCCCCTTTTTTGCGCCTTTCCATTCATCCACGTTCGAACCACAATTCCCCAGTACTTCAAATCGAGTCTGCCTCCCGTGTGTATTTACCAAAAATCCGTTTCTTACGGCAAAACGTGGGATTTCCCCATATCCACCTGTTCGATGCCTTCACACATCTCAACCAACCCCCTTGCGGCGTTTCGTATATCACTACTGCCCACCGCTTACCTCCTCCCTTGCCCCCGGTCCCAAAGCCCACCTCAAGCCCAACGCAACCATCCATGCAATGTTGTCTGCCCAAAGCACTTGCATCGCAAAAACATAATAAAGTGGCACAGACTTCTATAATCTCCGTGTTCTATTTATAATAACTTCGTCTCGAATGGCGAAGGCCGTGCCTCCCATACATACCCCCTTGTATTAGCCCTTATGCTGCCCCAAGTCAACTCTACGTACCCTACCTCCTCGCCAAAAGAGAAAAGTAAAAGGGGGGAAAAATACTTTATCTAGTTCTTTCGATAGCATGTAGTAGAGATACTAGTTTGATCCAACAATACTGAAAAGTTCATAACCAAAATTGTAGCAGGCGGAAACCCATATTGGAAACACTGATACATCTTTCTATCACTTCATCTATCAGATCCAGGAGGAGTATATATTGCAGACAAATAGTGTAACAAATATTGGAGTGGTAGATCATAGTGCCTGTAAAATGGCATCACACATCTTCACCACCTTCTCTTCCTCGAGCCGGCGCCCAACTAGTTGAAGGCTCACAGGCATCCCATGGATGACACCAGGGTTGTCTAGTGCACATATCATTAGAGATATGCTGACCTGGGTGGAAAACGGTAAGAATAGGGGAAAGACATACATTCACTCTGTACCAAAGCATCTTCCTTGCTAAGTGGTGTTTCTCCAACTGCTGGGACATCAACGGCTTGATCAACGGCCACATTGCATGGGAATGATATGCAGGAATAGTCCAAAATATTGAACACGCCCGTATAAGCGACATGTCTGAATTTAGAATGTTCGACGGCAGCAAAGGGTGCTGTTGGGGCTATTTCGAGGAATTAGCATGGTATTTAATCCATTGAAGAAAAAGCATACCCAATATAGCATCGAGTCCTAGTGCGTTCCATCGGTCCAAGTAGTCCTTTTGTAGGGTATTTCGTTCCTGATGGAGTTGCCATAAGTTATATACGCCATGGTCAACTGCACGACCATACCGTTCCATCTCAGGCCGAATGGGCTCATCAGACATTGCAAGCAGTTTTTCAACCGACTTTCCGCCATCAGAGAGAAAGAAGCGGTCCTATGGTTACATTAGACGGGGTGAACGTTGACGTGGAATGAGAACAAGGAGATAGCTATTCATACTAGTATATCGGCAGCTTGGGCATGGCCGATGGGTTCCCAGTCAACAACTTCATGGCCCGCCAGCCTCAACTTCTCTGCTGTTTCTTTCAAAGCTCTTCTGACAGGAGGGGTGGGCCTGACCATGCCATCGTTCCATAGAATGCCTATTTTCAAGCTCCTTTTGAGCTCAACTTCTCTCCATGGGATAGGAAGGCATTTGGGGTCGGTGATCCATGGCTGAGAACCGACGACTGCTTCGGCCCAGAGAGAGATAGAGCGTAGATCTCGTGCCATGGGACCATTAACGCTGGTTACTGACTCTTGTCCTGCAAGACCAGATTTGGTCTTGAAGTTAGGGAAACGGCCGAAAGAGGGCTTCAGAGTAAAGATTCCTGTGAGAGCGGCAGGTATACGCAGAGATCCACCTGGTATAGATTAGTCTAGTTAAGACTGCCAGTTGCCAATAATGGATAGCCTACCAATATCAGTGCCGACTCCCAGGGGGCTCCCTCGGAATGCTATTAAAGCCGACTCGCCTCCTGAAGAGCCTCCAGAAGAGGTAAGACGGTTAAAGGGGTTCGTGGTCCGGCCAAAGACGTTGTTAACAGTTTCCGCAATCATCATAGCCGTGGGCACATTTGTCTTGACATAGAGTACCGCCCCGGCTGCCTTTAGCAGATCTATCAATATGCTGTTATGCGTTGCCGGCTGCCCAACCCAGGCTGTGAATCCGAGTGTGGAGTCCTTGCCAGCGATGTTGAAGTTATCCTTGATAGATATAGGAAGGCCATGCAACGGCCCCAGGGGCTTGCCAGTGGCTGCAAGATGGGTATCAAGTGCCTGAGCAGTCTTGATGGCCTCCGGAAACAGAGTCTCTGATAGACAGTTTGTCTAGTATCGCCAGTTAGTTAACCTGGATGTCCCTGCGGTTGATTTGACTAAGGGTGGTGGTATAGTTATACAAGCTGGTGGGCAGCCGCAGCTCTTTTGCAGAACGCCCGAGCAACTGACTCTGCCGTCCATGACCCTGAAGCGGTCTTCTCAAGGATGACGGCTGCTGGAGAAGAAGTGATCTCGAGCTCAACCTCGGTGAACCATCCAGAGGTTTCAGGCCAGGCTGAGACGTCCAACTGAGAGTCCGGCGGCAGGATATCAGCATGTATCAGCCATTCTGGAGGAATCGAGGCGAGCAGAGCCTTTTGCTTTGCCGCGCTGATTGCCTGCCACTGCGTTTTGGTCATCGTGAGCGTGTTTCAGCTGGTGATATCTGGCTATTCTCTTCTTTTTGGTGTCGTCCTTGACATCGACCGAGCAAACCTCCAGCGAACCCGGCGCCTATAACTAACTACACGAACACCTACCAAACCGAACCGCCGCCGGCTCGTCGGTAATTCGCTGAGGGGGCGCCGGTAGACGAGCTACCTAGGTAAACTAATATTATAGGCGAATCTCGACGTCCACATTCTGAATTAACTAACTAGTTAACTCTAGTGCGAGAGGCTTGCCGGCTATTCCTTACCCCGTTTTCACCCTTCGCCTTACCATTCTCACCCTTGTGCCCAGGGCTAATTATGCTGAATACGGCATGTATCTTCCAGTAGGGCTCTGAGACCCCGTAGAAGAAACTGTATGTGGACTTTCAGCATTGAGACTAGAGTAGTTAGTTAGTTACAGAGTCAGAAGACTGTAACTAATTTAATCATATAATTTGAAGGCACTTCGTAAATCCCATACAATATTAGGAGACCAATTGGATCTCACGATATCTGTAAAGTTGAACCAGAGATTCAGAATTGGCGCATACTTTTGTATAGCCTCACTGGCAGCACAGCTGAACCAAGAATAAACGAACCGCCTGCTTCAAGATTAAAACCCAAGCCAGGCATATCCACGCCCTAACCGTCCTCAACAGTCCTTCTCTTTACACTTTTTTCAGTGGCTTTATTGTGGGAACGTTTTGTCGCCTGTGTTGGCTGTTGACCGTGTTGAAGACTTTCTTGGATTCATCTCTCGGTTGCGCTTGAAAAGTATCAGTCTCGTAGCTGTTTATCAAGCCGCTGACCTTGAGGGAAGCCCTTTATTTGGCTGCAGACAGGATAGTCCCTTTAGTCGATGTACGGAGTAGTTGTATCTTCGACAATAATAATATCTTTTGATGCTCTTCGTATTCCTTGGTAGGAGGAACTATGATGACTAAGCTGATTAATAACATTTAACTCTGACTAAGAAAACTAAGATTTAGCTTACTCAGCAACCTCCTTAACGCTTTGGCCAGTTCTTGCTGACTAAGTCCAGCGGATTATGGCATGTGTTAATCGCTGATCTCCTCCTCCGCGTATATTTGCACATTGTATTAATTATTTATATTAACAGGATTTTTTGATTTACTGATATAAGAGGATTCTAGATAGTCACTGATATAACGGGCTATCTAAGCACTAGCGACTCGGTGTCTTGTCCGCGCCATGGACGCCATTTCAGCCACACGAAGGTAACGACGAAGCACGACAAGATACATAACTACCCAAGGCTCCTCCCCGGCAAACTGCCCGGAGCTAGCTCCGTACAACTTGATCCCTTGACGAGCAGGCAGGCAGTCAGAGAATACTGGTGGAGACATCGCTACAAATATACACCTGGCCGTCGATGCCCCCGAGTAACTATAAAACTCCATATTATTGACTCGACCGAGGCTATATACATAGAAAATATAAGGGCGGAATGAGCCCGCGAGCATAAAAAGACGCATCCAGGAGATGATGTGGCCCCTGAGCCATATCTACGGAGGACATCGTTACCTTGCCTCCCTGTGGGGGTGGAACGGATTCCGCGGCCTGCAGGCTTGTGCAGGTTTGCCCCAGGATGAAATGATTGCTGGCCCAATCACCGTGCTTGCGAAGATGCGGAAGACGGCAGCTCAGTGTGCGTGCGGGAGCTGATTCAGTGTCGATGATGCGCCTGGGGGAGATGCCCTGCGGGCACCAATGGCCACTTCTGGGAGAAAAAGACATATATTCAGCAGGGCCGCGTTCCTGTCCTCTGTGGTTGATCTGGAAGTGCCATAAATATATGTCGACCGGTGATGGTAGCTGATTGAGCTGTACCGGTCTGCTATCTATTGTATCTACTCTGCAAAGAGCTGGCGGGATGGCTTCCCACACGATACTGATAGCCCTCGTGGCCATTGGTTACCTGCTCCTTAAATATTTCAACAAGACCGATGTTGCTAAGGTCAAGAATCTCCCAGAGATACCCGGGGTGCCAATGTTTGGCAACCTCCTCCAGCTAGGAGACTCGCATGCTAAACGAGCGGCTGCCTGGGTGAAGGAGTATGGACCGGTCTTCCAGGTCCGGCTGGGCAATAGGGTGAGTGGCACTAACCCATGGCCGGACTATTAGAATCATGTAGTTGCTAATGATAGCTGGGATAGAGAGTTATCTTTGCCAACACCTTCGAGTCCGTGAAGTACCTATGGATAACACACCAGTCGTCCTTGATTTCACGTCCAAAGTTACACACATTCCATTCCGTCGTTTCCAGCTCTCAGGGATTCACCATTGGAACATCGCCGTGGGACGAATCCTGCAAGAGACGCCGCAAGGCTGCTGCTACAGCCCTGAACAGGCCGGCAGTACAGTCCTACATGCCTATCATTGACCTGGAATCGACCACCAGTATCAAGGAGCTGTTGGCAGACAGCAAAGATGGAACTGTTGATATCGATCCAAACCCATATTTCCAGCGTTTCGCCCTGAACACCAGCCTGACCCTGAACTACGGCATCCGTATCGATGGTAGCATTGACGATGAGCTGTTGAAGGAGATCGTGACGGTGGAGCGCGCGGTTAGCAACTTCAGAAGCACCAGCAACAACTGGCAGGACTATATCCCCCTTCTCCGGCTATGGCCTACCAGTAACAGCCAGTCAGTCGAGTTTCGGGAACGTCGAGATAAGTACATGAGCAAGCTGCTTGAGATGCTAAAGGAACGTATTGCAAATGGCACCGATAAGCCATGCATCACGGGAAATATAATCAAGGACCCCGAAGCAAAGCTCAACGAAGGTGAGTCTCCCAGATGCTGCCTTTTAAGCGCTTTCATGACTAGTTACTCCATACTGACGCTTATTCTCAGCGGAGCGGAAGTCCATTTGTTTGACCATGGTGTCTGCTGGTCTTGACACTGTTCCTGGGAACCTGATCATGGGAATCGCATACCTTGCCTCTGAGCATGGCCAGGAGATTCAGACTCGCGCTTACGAGGAGATCATGAAGGTCTATCCCAACGGAGACGCCTGGGAGAAATGTCTGGTTGAGGAGAAGGTCCCGTACATCACAGCTCTGGTGAAGGAGGTCCTCCGCTTCTTTATTGTAATTCCCATCTGTCTCCCCCGTGTCAGTATCAAGGACATCACCTGGAAGGACTCTGTAATTCCCGCTGGAACCACCTTTTTCATGGTAAGACATCAGCATGCATTTTAACAAGTTACCCTGTACTCCTTATGGCTAACGAGACAACCAGAATGCGTACGCTGCCAACTACGACTCTAATCACTTCAAGGAGCCCTTCGAATTCCGACCAGAGCGCTACCTCGACGTTGCTGACGGGACGGGCACGCCACATTATGCCTATGGTGCAGGAAGTCGTATGTGCGCAGGCTCACATCTCGCGAACCGTGAGCTTTTCACTGCGTTTCTCCGTATAATCTCCGCTTTTACGATCGTTCCGGCAAAGGACAGGGCGGATGATCCCGTACTCGATCCCATCGACTGCACGGATAACAAGACCTCGCTGACTCTCGACCCTCGGCCGTTCAAAGTCGGTTTCAGGGTGCGTGATCGAGCAAAGTTGGATCAATGGATCAGAGAGTCGGACGAGAGAACCAAAGACCTGTAAATATGGACACGCTTATACAGCTGCCTGCAGGTGGATACAAGTCAGCTAGTCAATTCATCAACTAGTTAGTTATATGACGACAAATATATGCCCCTTTTTAGCTAATTCTCCGTCTTGACTGTTTTATGCTTAAAGCAACAGTTTTAACTACGCTGCCAAGTTATAGTTATTGGGTATCGCGAGCAAACATCTCAGCCGTTGCTGGTCGCTTGCGATTCATCGTACTCTGCCTTCGTACTGGTGTTTTCTTCTCCTCTTTTTCTCAGCCGGAGATGCGAGCCAATCCTGGCTGCGGCGCTCCGTACGAGCGCATGAGATTACTCTGGACGCCCAAGATATGCACTCCATCCGCTTGGCTTGCGCACGTCAGGAGCAGCTAACCTCCTCCACAGTTAGTTCCCTGCTCAAGGGTCCAAAATTATTCAAGGATTCAAGGGTTCAAAGGCACCTGGACCTTGCAAGCGCCGGTTTCCTTCCTGCTGGCGGGTTTTTGGTGCTGTTTCTGGAACATCAGAGGTACATCCCGAGAGACTCCTGTCAGGCTAGGATGCAACCCTTGACCCAGTCAACCAAGAGCAGGATTCACATTCCTCTAAGACAGTCATATAACGGTGGGTGACGGCATAACTATGTAACTAGTCATCTCACTGGGTGATTGGGATGCAGACCTGCCTTGCCTTGCTGCAACACGGCCGTGGCAAGGCTCTCTCAAAAGTAGTGCACCGTCCCTCGCCAGCAAACCTCCCTTCTGCAGCAAATCCCTGGATTCTCCTCTCCGCTTGCAGCAACCGCCTTGGCCGTGCATTCAACTTGATTGGCACAGTGATCGTTTCCCATGTCACAGAGGTAGTGCTATAGGTGCTGGGATCGAGCAGTATCCTGGTCCCCGAGCCGAATGGCGGGCAAAGATGTCGCCCGCGGTAGTCGTATGTACTCTCCCATACGGCGAACACCGCGTAATATTATGCAGCTAGGTACTCGATATTTTATATCCTGGGATCCACAGCCGATGGAGAAGCTGGCTAGAGCCGTTCTTTTCTTTTATTTTAAGCATGTTTATATCCTCCTGTTGGGTCTACTGGCGTCCCGTCAGCTTCATCCCATTTGAACAACCGTTCGAAAGGTGGATTCTGGCCTGGTCTGATACCCGATAATGAGCGAGAAAGCCACGGTCAGCGAGGCCGTCATGAAGACATCGACTGGTGACCCTGAGCCGTTAGACATCGTCCATAATACTGAGGCCGAGAAACGGCTTCTTCGCAAATGTGATCTCCATGTTGTGCCGGTTCTTACTTTCTTATTTTTGCTTGCGTTTCTCGATCGAATCAACATTGGCAATGCTCGACTTCAGGGCCTGGAGAAGGATCTCAACATGACTGGGCGGGACTACAACATTGCGCTGTTGATATTTTTCATCCCATATATCCTATGCGAACTTCCCAGCAATTTGATCTTGAAGAAAGTGGCGCCATCAACCTGGATAAGCGGTATAATTGCAGCATGGGGTCAGTGATTCAACATGAGAACTATGACTTGAGGTGCTGCTTCACATCACTGACCGGCCGTATAGGGGTGGTTACCATCTGCCAGGGCGTCACTAAAAGCTTTGCAGGATTAGTTGTGTGTCGATTTCTACTCGGGATGTTTGAGGCTGGGTTCTTCCCAGGTATTTTATACCTCGTTATACTCTAGGATTCGTACTCAGTGTTAACCAAAAGTTCCCAGGGTGTGTCTACCTCATCTCCATGTACTATAGGAGACATGAACTCCAAAAGCGAGTCAACTTTTTCTTCTCTGCCAGTATCATTGCCGGTGCCTTTAGCGGAGTGAGCTTGCCCTTGACCCTTAATCTGCCATGTATATATTACATACTAACAATTGATAGCTACTCGCGTATGGAATTGCTCGCCTGGATGGAACAGCGGGTTACAGTGGATGGCGCTGGATCTTCATCATTGAAGGACTCGCTACCGTCGTCTTTGCCGTTATCTCAAAGTTCTTCATTGTTGACTGGCCGGAGACGGCCAAATTCTTGAACGACCAAGAGCGCAAGATGCTTCTTGCGCGTTTGACTCTTGATAATAAGGGCGCACAAATGAACCGCCTCGACCGACCAGCCTTGAAACGCTGCTTATTTGATATTAAGATATATCTCGGGTAAGTAATGCGCATTTCTTCATCGAGACTACAAGCTTACATCGAGTTAGGATGGTCATGTACTTTGGAGCTGTGACCTCTGGATATGCTACTGCTTTCTTCACTCCTACCATCCTCCATCAATTCGGCTGGGCACCGCTCAAAGCTCAAGTAATGAGCATCCCAATCTTTGTTGTTTCAACCGTGATCACCCTAGCCCTGGCCTGGGTTTCCGACGCCATACGCCATCGCTTTGCTTTCACTATTTTGGGATGCGTCATAGCGACCGTCGGCTACGTCCTGCTTCTCTGCCAGCAACATGTTCCCATAGGAGCTCGATACTTTGCTGTCTTTGCGATTACCATTGGCACTTTCATCACACAGCCCATCTGTGTGACGTGGCTCAGTAATTGCATGGCAGGACACTATAAACGCTCCTTTTCTACCTCCTTCCAAGTTGCGTTTGGTAACTTTGGAGGCATACTTGCAAGCAATATATTTTTGGACTCAGAAAAGCCCCTTTATCCGACTGGGTTTGGAACGACCCTGGCAGCATTCTGGCTATGTGGAATTGCCTGTATAATTCTTCTCTTCGTTCTCATCCGGGAGAACCGAATCCGCGATGCGGGAGGTCGAGATTATCGGTTTCAGTTACCGGAAGAAGAAGTCACTAATCTCGGAGACGATCATCCATCATTCAGATTCTCGTATTAGAGCTTCTTTTCTTGGATAGTATAGCTAGCAGTATATGGAGCATCAAAAGACTTAATGATATTAAATGATAATAATAATTTCTGTATTATTCAATACTGCAAAGCTTCACAACGAATCCCATAGATAAATACCGTGGTCTAAAGACCTGGAGTACCTACACAGTCCACCTGAATCAACGAAAAACCTGAAAATACATCACGAACCCGAGTATCGACATTACTATATAACCATTGAAGGCGCTCCATCATTTGCGTTGCACAACCTATTTCCATGTAGAAACCACAACTCCCAACTCCACCCCAGAGAAAACAGAAAGAACGGAAAAAATAATACTTGTCATGTTCTTACTCTTCCTCGGCAGAGTTAGTTAGTGACAAGTAAGCAGTCCAGGCAATTCCGACAGACGACACAAATGGCTAAATCTGTGTTAGCAAGTGATAAGGTAAGTAACTTAGGACCAATAGCTGGATAACACATACAATCTGGAACTGGATAGGAATTAAACGGAAATTCATGATTTGCACGGCTGGCCAGAGCACGAAATTAGCCTTCAGGGTAGGAAGGTAGACGTCTTCGAATTTACGAGACAGAGCACGCCGGCCGCCACCTTCTGCCACGGTCATAAAGGTGAAGAAACACGCCAGACCTAATCATGTTAGTTATCTTCTCCTCCCACTCTGCAGTAGGGCGGGGTGTGAGGGTGAGAATGAGAATATATACCGATTGGAGCAAAGATGAGTTGGTCCATCGCAACACGCTTCAATGCTGGAATGGTTGCATGGGACTGGGTCACCGGGAATATGTGGGATAAGAAGCTGAACCACCGGTGCTGGATGGGCGCCATGAAGAAGCCATATGCCATAAAGCGAGTGAGTCTCTCAAAGTCAAACGGAGCAGGCCGCCTTCTGTAGAAATTCAGCTCTCCCACGGCTGGTGGTTTTTCCTTCTCCAAGTCTTGCAAATCAATTGATATGAAGCTGGTTGTGTCCCGGTGCCTCGGTAGTTCCTTGCATCTAGCACTTATGGCGGATATCGACTGTGCAACCGTGTCCGCTATTCCACCCAGAACCTATAGAATTATTTCCCGTCAGCACGGCTCCGAGTAGCCCCCTCCGTATCTCTGAACTCTTTAGTGGGAGGCAAGGGTCGAGGTATCCTTACAGCATTCGTCACCATCGTTGTCAGAACTGTCGTGCAAATCATCGTTAGCCTCTTATCTCGGTCCCAGTCCTATATTAAGGGATAACGGTGATGCCCGGGACATACCGGGATTCTGAGCATAGTACGTGTTAAATTTGGCAATCAGCCTCATGGTCACGGCGATCTCGATGAGGAATATGATGGCATGTAGCAGAGGCTAGATATGAAGAAAACGGTTAGTTCTTGAGCAATGCTGGTATAATACAGCCTCTATCTCGGCTTCTGGAGTAGCGGGAGGCGCAAGAATGTTGATCCAACAAATGCTGGTAAGGTTTCAACTGACCACACGACCGTAGATATATCGACTGTCCAAGGCCCGGAGCAGACCCCATTTCGACTGGTTCATCATGGTTGCCTGGGACCGTCTCGACCGTCTTCTGTCGACAGGATCTCCCTTGCGTAGATGGACGTAGATGTGGGCGGCTGTGGATAGAGCGAGACCGGGTTGGGCATGGAGATGTCCTCGCGGTCCTGTTGCTGTATGACGCAAGGCCCTTTTTTGCTCCGTTTGACGCTTTTGACGCTCAAGAGATTTGAAGTTGCTGGAAAAAGGCTGCAAGTCGAGCAAAGCAGCCAATCAGGGTGGTATAAATTCGCTTAGTAAGTACATGACTAAGATGTATACGAGCCTGCGCTTTCTTTCACAAGCAAAGCCGAAGAAGCCGCAGGAGAAGCAGCAGAAAGAATGGGCGATGATAGTCATAAGGGGGCGATCAGGCAGGGTGTAGAGCTCCGTAGGGAGTGGTTCTTATTATTGACCGGGTACTTAATATGCAACCCGCCATCTATTCTAGTTCATGCGCTGTATTACCGGGCGATCCGCTGTTGGACAAGCCCCTTAAATATCGGCCTTTGCGTACGCTACTATGTCAGGCAAATCTCGGATCTCCATGGTTTCGTTTGATGCCAGGTCAATCAGTCTCACAACCTCCAAGTGAAGAAGCCCTGGGGATAGCGGAAGAAGCCTTAGTCTTGTGGAATGACATGTGCCGGGGTGGAGAGGCCTGGTGAATAAGAGTCAGCAATCGCAGTAACCAGCTTGTATCTTTCTAAGCAGCTGACATGGCGCTTACCCTATTTTTGAATCAGTGCTGAGGCAAAGAAGATCAGTCTCGTGAGGGGCCGCATTTTGTTGCATTGCATAGACAATGTTTTCGTCAACAACGGCCTCCGCAACTTCATCTGCCCTCTTTATGGAGGAAGACGAAGACGGCCGGGGAACATGTGTTCGCGCGTCTGAACGTCTTCGAAACGGGACGGCAGAAAGGCCGAATTTCCTTGCCTTCGTCGACGTGTTTACAATAAAAACGTCCCAGTCAAATGGCTTGCCAACCTCGACGCTAGGAGGACCGAAGAATGATATCTTCACTCCATGGTCTGTTGGAGCAAAAGAGGTGACCTGCGGCGTAGTTGGTTCTTGCGTTGACTGGTCGCTCCCCCGGGATATTACGCTTCGTCGCAACGTATTACTAACGCCTCCCAGGGACTGGTTTGTAGGCCTGGAGAAGTCGACGCTTGTCCTCCAGCGCATTGAGATCTTTGGACGACATTCGTCCGAGACTAGCACAGTAACTTTGAGCGAGATGTCAAGCATAGATGTCACTGGTGCGCCATCGGCAAAATCTGAGGATATGAGTTTATAGACCAATGAGATATCATCCCGTGCTGGACAGCTGATAGGGGGTGAGAAGCCAATTGCTTGGGCCAGGGGTTCCACGGTTCCATTAGTTAGGGATAAATTAGCCTCCTCCAAGACAATTTCATAGCTGGTAAAGGGAGTTGCCTCAAAGTCGAGGCTAGCAGTTGTTGACAACTTTTTCAAAACGGTGGTCGATCGGGAATATCTAATCCTAGCACTTGCAGCCGGGATAATGCGAATGGGGTGATACGACGTCTGCTGGATGTTATACATTGACCCTTCGGGCTGGGTAGAGGGGACAAGCCGTAATATCCGAGAGGCAGGAAGGTACGGATCTATATCCTCTCCGGTAGCGGTCAAGGGTTGAAATATATTTGTAGATGCTGGCGTGAGTCGAGGTAGATATTGATCATTGCTGGCCAAGGTCTGTGAGCCCTGAGGACTAAAGCTTGCAGACGCCCTAAAAAAAACGGATGGATGTCTTAGGCGCACTCGAGGGCGGTCTAAGATCGTGTCAGCTCAGGAAATGGTTAAACTGCATAGATGGGCCAGATACTGACAAAGGAATGCTTCTGATTTCCATATCACATATGCATGGTTTCCATCCCCTCCATCCTCGACAGCTTCATCAACAATGACGAATGGGTCATCTTTCCTATCCACGGTTTGGGAATATATTAAATCCTTTGAGCTCTGTTCCTCTTCTCCTGACTCACTCGAACCTCCTTCATCAATAGCGAAGACTTCAAAACGTACACTGAGGTTTGATATGCAAGCCTCTAGACTGTCATTTGGGAAATCAGACAGGCAAAGCACTAGGTAAAGTGTAATATGTTCATCTGTTCATTCGCCTGGTATCAGTAATGGGATAGCAACAACCCGAAAGCTAGGGGTTTAAATCCATACCGAAAAACAGCAGTTGACGTTGTTGAATTTTTGACAGATATGTGCCTGGATCCCCAGAACTCTCCTGTATAGACCCCAGCAGCTCTTCTATATTCAGGTCTGAAGCGTGCGGGATGACCGTATCCAGCGTCGCATCTTGTAGGAATTGGTATTCAGACATGTTAATATCAGGGTATCATGCAAGGCTCAACAAAACGAGATAATCACAATGAAAAAGTACAGGCTAAGTCTCGCACTTCCAGCCGCAGACAACCAAAAAAATCAGAATAATACCAAGCAAAAAGACCTTGACCTCTTCTCTCTGCTTGGTTTTGCAGGAAGTTGATGTCTAAAAGTCGAACCAGCTGGAATTCCCAAATAGGCAAACGTCGCAGGCCCAAAGGGGGCCTTCCTCACGTGACCCGCGCTAAGATTTTCTTCGCGCGCCAAAAGTCTCAGAAGCTTCAAGCTTTTTGTCGAGATCAACAGACGCAGCCGACGATACCTTGAAGGAGCTCCTCTGTGGGAGGCGGATAGTGGCTGGCACATAGGGTTGCTTTCAGAGCGTTTTTGCAATATTGTGCTGGGTGTCGCCCGCTTAAGCAGGAAACAAACCTGCTGTAACGTTTGCGAAGCGTCCCTCGACTCGTCACGATGAATGCCCCAGAGGGTCTACAGATACCGCCAGCACTCTGGCAGGAGGCACGGAATGCCGAGGGCAGGGTTTACTACTACAATGTTCAAACTAAAGCCACCCAATGGACGAAACCATTGGAATTAATGACTCCAGTGGAGGTGGGTATTCTTCCTTGTACCACTATCTTTGAACACTACTGATAGTTCTCCAGCGCGCTTTGGCAAATCAGCCATGGAAAGAATATACGGCGGCGGGTGGGCGCAAGTACTGGTATAACACCGAAACCAAACAAAGCTCTTGGGAAATGCCAGAGGTTTACAAAAATGCTCAAGCTCAAGCTCAAGCTCAGCCTGCTTCTAAGCCAGCTCCTACGTACGTTTTCGATAGTCTCTGGATTTGCATAGGCGAAATCTAATATAGCTATCTTTAGTGCTCCGACCTTTGTTGCTGGTGGTGTAGGCGCATTCCCTACCTACCAAACTCCAGCTCACGATCGTGACGAACATGACCGAAGCGCAAACGATCGACGACACGGATATGGGGGTGGCATTGACATCAACGGTGCTAACGCAATAGCTGCAGCAAATCAGCAGTCCGACTCCGGTTTTGCTTCGTTTGAGGAGGCAGAGGCTACCTTCATGAGACTCCTTCGACGCAGCAATGTTCAGCCAGACTGGTCTTGGGAGCAAGTTATGCGTGCCGTTATCAAGGACCCTCAATACCGTTCACTCAAGGATCCCAGAGACCGAAAGGCCGCATTTGACAAATACGTTCTCGAAGTTCGCGCGCAAGAAAAGGATAAGGCGAAAGAGAGATTTGCTAAATTGAGAGCAGATTTCGGTACCATGCTGAAGAGCCACCCTGAAATCAAGCATTATACCCGCTGGAAAACAATTCGACCTATTATCGAAGGTGAAACTATTTTTAGATCCACAGATGATGAAGGTGAACGCAGGCAGCTGTTCGAGGAGTATAAATCGGAGCTGAAAAAAGAGCATGCGGAGAAGCAAGCCAATGCGCGTAAATCCGCAAGGGATGACCTAGTTGATATTTTGAAAACTCTGAATCTGGAACCCTACACTCGCTGGTCAGAAGCCCAGGAGATAATTCAGTCTAATGAAAAAATCCAAGGGGATGAGAAGTTTAAGGCTTTGACCAAATCGGATATCCTAACCGCATTTGAGAATCATATCAAGTCTCTTGAACGGGTGTTCAACGACGTTAGACAACAGCAAAAGGCTAGTAAGACTAGAAGAGAACGTCAAGCAAGAGATGCTTTTATATCTTTGCTACAAGAGCTTAGGTCCCAAGGCAAGATCAAAGCGGGTAGCAAATGGATGAATATCTACCCATTAATTGAAGAAGATCCAAGATATACGGCAATGCTTGGACAGTCTGGATCTAGCCCTCTAGATTTATTCTGGGACGTGGTTGAAGAGGAAGAACGTGCTATCCGGGGCCCAAGAAATGATGTCCTGGATGTTCTTGATGTAAGGCTCTATCCATTTGATCTTTTGTCTAAGTGGTTTAAAAGTGGCGTTAACATTTTGATTCTAGGATAAACGGTTTGAGACGACGTTGAAAACTACGTTTGATGAGTTTAAATCTGTGATGAGAACTGATCGTCGTACTGCTACAATTGACCAAGACACTCTCCAGCTCATATTTGATCGTTTACAAGAGAAGCTCCTTCGACGTACAGAAGATGAGAAGCATGCAGCTAATCGGCAACAGCGGCGCGCGATTGATCTTCTACGATCCCGCATCAAGCACCTTGAACCCCCGGTCCAGGCAAATGATACGTGGGAAGACGTAAAACCCAGAATCGAAAAGATGGAGGAATACCGAGCGGTAGAATCGGAGGACGCACGCCGCTCGGCATTCGAAAAAGTTGTGCGCCGTTTGAAGGAAAAGGAGGAGGATGCTGAACGTGATCGCGAAGCTCGCGGACGGGACCGGCCATCACGCCGCGACCACTACGACCGCGTAGACCGAGATGACCGCAATGGACAGAGATGGTCAGGCTCTGGACGTCGTAGCCGTACCCCTGAACCAGATGCGTACGAAGCGGATCGCCGCAAAGCCCAAGCAGACCGGGAAAGATCATATCGCAAAGCCAGTGGATTTTCATCACCGCCTAGGCATCATGACCGTGACCGTAGAGACCGGGACCGCGATCGTGAAAGGGATCGGGACAGAGGTCGTGATCGTGATAGAAGCATCTCTCGGCATCGTCGAGATCGCCGTATCCGAGAAGATGAACGAGATAGGTTATACCACAGTCGCGCTGACCCTCGAACCAGCCGCGACGAACTGGATTATGGAGGCGGTGATACCGATACCGCTGCACGTAGTGTGACTAGTGAGCGCCGCAGACGCCGTGATAGTGATACGGAGAGCGTTGGCAGCCGGTCCGCAAAACGGTACAGGCGTGAACCCGATCGTCTAAGTGGTACAAATGGTGGGAGACGGGGCAAAGAGAAGGAAGAGAAGGCAGCACCTGTGGTGGAAGAGAAGGCTGTTCATTCTGGCAGTGAGGAAGGGGAGATTGAGGAAGACTAGGGGATGTATACTGGATCTATTTCTGTACTTTCATCAAACCAACATCTTAGCCTATATTGCCATAGTTTAGAACTTTAGACTTGATAACTACATAGGCCAATACCTCTGTGCGTTGGATAATCCATCCATTCAACTAAATTTTTTGTTTCAAACGAGTGGAGCTGAGGCAGATGTTGAATCGAATCACCAAAGTTGAGGTACAGGTTTATCATCCTGTGAAAACGGTACAGGTACAAAAGAATGGAAAGGCAAGTTTTATTTAAAAAAACTGCAATTTGTTTGTTTTAACCTTCTCAAATTCTTGAGCTCATAGGGGCGCTACTGAGTGTGCGCCGCGGCATCTCAAAGCCTTGATCGACATTGTGAGCCTCATAGCCATCACCGGGCGCCTCTTTTCCACACTGCATGAGAATTGTGGAAGGGCGTGGCATAGAAATCATGAACAGGTACTTCTGTCACGAGTATTCAAACATTTATGCAGATGACCCGGCGTATGGAAAATTCTTTGTGTCATCGTCGTCATCGTCATCACCATATGACGTTTCCTCTCCGAAGAAGCGGATGGTACGCCATCCTTGGCCGGCATTTAGGTTGGAGATACTGACACGGTTCAAGCGGCGGTCCCTTACAACCCTCCAGTAGTTCTCCTGCCAGTGTGGCCATCGACGATTACGACCATCATGGCCATTATCCCGTGGGACAGCCTTTTCAACTCTCTTCTTCCAGGAAGAACTAGAATAACGTTAGATACAAAATAGAGTGTGGCCAGGGGTAGTCAAAACTTACGAAGTTTCCACTCAACTTCTGCTCCTGATCAAGTTGGGAATTATGCTTGTTGATACGTGGTCTGTAGGTGCTGGGGTCACGTCTGAAAGTAACATCCAGGTTTTGAAGGAAGCGGTTGCACCCTGTAAGAAGAGATTCGGGCTTGTTTGCTTTTGACTTGACAGAAGGAGCTCCTTCGAACAAGATGACACGGTCCGCGAGATAGGTAGCCATAATGAAATCGTGCTCAACAACGAATGCAGTCTTCTTGGTGTGCATAATGAATCTCTTGATAACACGAGCAGCAACGATACGCTGCTCGGAATCAAGGTACGCACTTGGTTCGTCAATCAGGTAAATATCAGCTGGCATACCCAGGGCCAAGACGATAGCAACACGCTGCAATTCACCACCAGATAAGTTTTGGACTTCTTGGTCAATGAAGTCATCCAGCTTAAGTGGTTTGTACACATCAGTCTGGAATTGTGGCGACAAGAAGGCAGCCTTGATCTTCTTGAAAAAGAGTTGTCGAACGGTGCCTTGGAACTTGGGTGTGATAGTTTGTGGTTTCATGCTGATGTTCATTGGAGGGACGTTCTGGCCACCATCTGGCTTAATTGCGCCAGCCAACATCTTACAGAAAGTAGTCTTGCCAGTTCCATTTTCTCCCATCATGACAATGATTTCGGAATCAGTGAACTGACCGCTATCAATGGTAAGGTGGAAATTTCCAAGTGTCTTCTCCATTTTTGGATAGCTAAAGGCTCTATCCTTGTCAATCATAATATCATCGCCAGCTTCAGCAATTCGGAAAGTCAAAGATTCTTCACGGAAACGAAGATTCTCCGTTGGGATGTGACCGTCAAGGAAGACGTTGATACCTTCACGGACTGAGGCTGGGAGTGTAACCACACCGTAGACAGCAGGACGACCGTATAGAACACAGATAAAGTCAGAGAGGTAGTCTAGAACGGACAAATCGTGCTCGACGACAATAACGTAGTCGTCTGGTCGAAGAAGTTCACGAATCATACGGGCAGCAGCAAGACGCTGCTTGACATCCAGGTAGGAAGAAGGCTCATCGAACATGTACCTAATCTAGTATTAGATCATCTTCTTCGACTCCGGGCATGAGGGTTAACTTACACGTCCGCTTGCTGAACGCAGACAAGACCAATGGCAAAGCGCTGGAGTTCTCCACCAGAGAGCAGGCCGAT